GAGGAGATATCCCAGATAGGCCCTGGAGGAGTCTATTTCTTAGGCAGTTCCAGAGCTAACAGCCTCCTGAAGGAATCTGTTGCAGTGTGATCTGTTTAGAGCCCCTCTGAGAGAGCCATTTTAGCTCACCCAGAGGAAGGCCATGAGGGCCCAAGAAAGAGAGTTCTAGCAAGGAAACATGTCCAAAACCATGTCTACAAAGAAGGCGAGCATATGGGATCTATATTGTTCCAGAGGGACAAAATCCATGCAGCTGAGTGGTCTCCTTTGATCTGCCTGGACCCTACCTCCCTTCCTGTGGCTTTTTAAAAATTTGGTTTCTACACATTCATCCTGGGGAGGAGGCTGCTCTGGGCTCGGCCTCAGCTCTGAGGGGTTTGTCCAGGATGTCCTGTCACTTCCTTCTGTGAGCCTAAAACAATTAAACCTCACCTTTGAGGCCTAGTCATTCTTCCTACAAGAACAGTACTCTTACAGAGGACAGCCTCCATCCTCTCAAGAAGGGAGGGGAGAGTTATTACCTTAGCACCTACCGAAATTCTTACCCAAGAGAGATTATGTGGTTAAGGCAGTTAGTGTTGTATTTACAGAACTACAATTAGGAACACTAATAATGGGTAGTGATATTTAGCAGTTGACAAACTTATAACTAATGGGTTTGTATTTTAGACTGTAAGAGCAAACATTACGTCTGTGTAGCCAAGCAGATATTGAATTGGGAATTTGTATTTAAATTAGTTCTCCTAAGTTCTCTCTGATCACCTCCCATTGATGTACATGGGGTCTTCTAATATTGTTTAGACAAGACATCATGTCTGCATCTTGGTCTCTGAATAAATAGTATGAAGACAACAATATGCAATGTATTAATTATTGTAGCTATCCTACTAACCTGCTTTGAAATTGTTTCATTGCTATTTTTTTCTTATTAAAATTAACTTAAAAAATAAAACAAAGAAGAAGAGAGGGGACCCAAGGCTGCTTGGAGCAGAGTCCTGCTCCTGCTCCATGGATGGAGACACCAGGATGCCATGAGGCCTCCTCAGCCCTCAGTCAGGTGCACGCGGTGGGCTTGTGTCTGGCTGCTCTGCACCAGTGCCAGCCTCCAGGTGGAAAAGAGAGGCTCCCAGAAGCATGTCCCTTCAGGCTGAAGCAGCATTCACTGTGCTGTGGACCAGGATGAGTGGGAAGCTGCCCCAATAAACATATTTTGCATAAAACAAAATTTTAAATGTGTTTTGAGCTAAAAAGCACTTTGCTATATAAGATACTTTCATCCTTTTGTTGCAGTCTTCACATGGACAAAATATGGGGTTATTGTGCTCCATTTCAGAGGTTTAGGGAACCAAGAAACCTGTCCCAAGTCCTGTGGGCCTGAAGCCTTGCCACACACAGTTGAGTTTGGGGTTGCTCCAGCGCACCTGGCTGTTGGGGTGGAGCTGACCAAGGAACTAGGGAGAGGCTCTTCCTTCAAATGTTCCGCACTCCCTCCCGCCGGTACTCGGCCCTTGGCAGGTCTGACTGATGGAATATCTACAGGGTGCAGCCATGTGGCCTCCATTTATGGAAGACCTGGGCAGGGCAATCTGATTTAATGATGTGCAAATGACAGGACAAGTTAGATTATCATAGGGAGGAGCTGAAGTGGTTTTAAGAGGGAAATTGATGTCATGGGTCTTATTTATAAGCACTTTGGGGGTGGCAGTAATGAAAGGGAGGGAGGCAGCTGGCTGGATTAGGATCCAAAAACAAAAAAAAAAAGTAAAACTGGATCTTTGAAGAGAAAGAAAGGAGCTATTTTTTAAAGAGACCACATTCATTTCTCAGAGTGCTTGATCTTTTTAGTGCTAAGGACATATTACTTATTGGCTTAAAGAAACTGTTATATAACTGCTTCTTCCTAAAGACTGGATCAAAAATACCTCAAAAACTTCCTAGTAGAGCAGGATCCACTGGAACTCTCCCTGGGCAGGAGAAACATGTTAAAGTATAACAGGCTTGTGCTGGCCTTTCAGGACGAAGCTTGGAACTCCAAAGCTCTTTCCTCACCAGGGTTTAGGACGCTGTTTAGTGGGGCATGGCTGGGCCCTGCTTCTGGAGGGAATGGGAGTGGTTTCTAGTAAGTGTGGTCAACCTTTGGAGTTTTAAACTCTCTTCCTATAAGTCCACAGCACAGGTCAGGAATTACCTCAGCACACCAAATTAAAAATAAAAATAGGGTCTGATTTATTCTTATCAGAGATATGGCCCAGTAGCTGTGTAGTAGCTGACCCACTAGTGTCAAAAGGCCTTGTGCTTGTCATGGGCAGAAGGCATCCCAAGGAAGCCAAGACATACCTGACTGCACACTGCCTCTGCCCCAGGAGACCAGATGTCAGAAAGACAGGGAAGTTCCACATGAGTGGACAACAACACAAGCAGAAATCTATGTATCTCTAAAAGCAGCACGAGAAAATCAGTATCCTCCTCCCTCCAATGAGAGGATGGGAAGGTGGATTATAAGTCAGGACAAAACTGCAACCTGTGGCATGCCTGTTTTGTGCCTCATGCTGTGTCCCAAGCCCAGTCCCTGCTCCAATGGTGCTCTCTGGGTGGAGCACCCAGCACCTTCCACCTCCTCCTTATCATCATTGCCCACCCCAACTGCCTAAGCACTTGATTCATCTTGGCTGGAGTTAGGAGTCATGCAAATGAAAGAATTCAAACTAAGATGCGCATAATGGATGGCCACATGGGGCTGTTTGCTGTGGAAGAGAAGCCCCTTTTGCAGAGAAAAATCACTGTAAGGAATGACTTCAGATGTGAGGGGCAAGGAGCCAGGCCAGCTGTGTGGAGCTGTCTTCCTGCCAAGCCACTGAATGTCTGCTTTTGGGCAGTCTGTGAGGCTGCTCCAGTCCTTCCCTCTGCCCATCCACTTCTACAGTCTCCACAGAGTCATAAAGAGAAGAAATGCATTACTTCTACACATTTAGTATCCACATATCCAGCATCAAATCTCTGTACTCAAGGCTGCAATATATGTGCAAGCATTTTCTATGGGTTTTAAGGACACTTGTACAAAAGGACCAGGGCTCTAAGGAAATTTTGTGATAGACTGATACCTTTTCTTGTCAACTGCAAATGACTTCAGTATTCAGCCCATATGCCCATTAGCTAACCCCTTGGTTTCTCTGGTGCTCGGTGTCACTGTCCTCTTGCTATTTGTTCTTTACTTCCTGGAATCTGGTTCAGTACTGGCTTTCTGCAGAGGCACCTGGACTCACCAGCCAGGTGATGTGGGAAAGCACTCCAGGTGAGCTCCAGCTGCCTAGCTAGGCTGTGCCCTCAGCTTTGCCCTGAAGCTTCCCCTAGGCCTGAGCAGGGCCTACCTTGGCCAGCATTCTTAGGGGTGAATTTCATAAAGTCCATGCAATCTTTATAAAAGGATATTTCATCTAGCTTTGTTGAGACTTCCTATTTTGGAGTCTCATGATGAAAGAATTATTACTGGAAGGAGGAAATGATCAGACCATCAAAAATAGTATCAGTATTTATTAATATGATTATACTAGACTTAAATATTCTAACTTTAATATCTTATATGAGTAAATGTACTTAATTTTCCTCAAGTTTCTATCTAAGTCTTCATATAGGCCCTGACACCAAGAGACTAATTATACAAAGGACTCCCTACAGGCTCGTCTTACTATACTTGGACCTGTGTAAGAGCAAATCTGCTTTGAGGTGTTCAGAGAGACATTGCTCTGTTCCATTTCCAGGCCAGCTTCAGCCGCCATAACTCTCAACACTGTGCTGAATTTAATTCAATACTTATATCCTGAAACTCTTCTGTGGGCATGCCCACCTTTTGAGTCTGAGTTTATTAACACATACACTCTGTCCCTTCAGTGAGAAAGTTGGCAGCTTCAAGATACTTTCACCAAAGCCTGTGAAATGAGGGGAGACTCAAGGAATTCTGGGTACCTGCCAGGGGTACAAGAAGGCAGCCAGTATCTCTTAGCATTTATATGTGTCCTTGAGAGTTCTTAGAGCAGAACATGACGTGCTTGCCACTATCAGGATCCAAACCGCTTTAAAAGAGTGTTGTATTTTGCTATGAGTGGCCAAATACCACAAGCATCACTCAGTTTTAACTTATGTAACCCTGGCATTCCAAAGCCAACGTGCTTGCACAGCCATGCAGAAGGTGATAATGCTTCAGACTGAACTTATCTCAAAAAAATAGGGTCAAAACATTCTCAACTTGAGATATGTGCTTGACAAACATTCTTCCTCTTTTGGAGATTTTTGTCGACAGCATTTTAAAACTACGTGGGGAGTGGGACTGGGCACTGTACACTGAGGTCAGCTGTGTACACACAGTAGCTTTCCAGTTCCTGATCCTTTCTGATTACGACTGGGAAGATGAGCAGATATATAATTTTACTCAAAGACAGAAAAGTCTGTAACAACAGGCCAAAATCTTGTCTGATGTCTACTTTTTAGCATTCACATTCAGTGAGTTACATTATTTTGTTTGGGTAGTGAATAGAGGTGCCCAACTACTTTGTGCACTGGGAGACAGGCCAGCATTCACTAAGTGTGTGTGTGTGTGTGTGTGTGTGTGTGTGTGTGTGTGTACCTGTTTCTGGAGATAACAGTTACACTCAAGTGATGTGGGTCTTACAAGATCTAAGAGGGACCAAATCAATTGCCTAAATGAGTGACACACTGGTACATAGGACTTCGGTGCTAGGGATCATTTTCTCTAGCCACTTTCATTTACAGATTGAATTCATTTCAGACCCAGAAGTGACTAGTTCAAGTTTACACAGGTAGTTAATAGCTTATCAGGGTTTAGAGCTTCTTTCTACCAAGAATCTGTAAATTTTCCCAACTCTTAAGATAGAAAATTGGAATTCCTTTCTGGACCTGTCAAACTTCTGCTGCAGCAATCTTAGGGGGATAAAAATAAAGGCAATAGGTAAGAACCTTCAGATATAAGTCTTGGATCTTTATGATACATGAAAATGGGCTTTTCATCTTAGTTTTTATTTTGTTTTTGAGACAAGGTTTCACTCTGTAATCCAGTAGCCTTAAATTTATAAACTCACTATGTAGCACACGCTGGCGTCAAACTGGTGAGCCTTTGGCCTCAGACTCTTAAGTCCTAGGATTACAGTTATGGGCCACCAAATCTGAAGTCATATATTTACTGGCCAGAAAAAAAACTAAAAGTAGACATTTATTTTCTGAGAAAGATGAAAATGCTATGTAAAACTTACTTAGTACAATGGCATCTGACTATTCCTGAGGAGCAATTTCAGAAAGAAGTCATACAAGTGAGAGAGGCTGGTTTAGAATTTGTAGAATGTCTCTTGTAATTGATACTGGATACAAACAGAGAAATGAAATGAGTAAGTAAGCATCCCCTTTTTTTCCCTCCTTGTTTCTCTCCATTATACTTACCAAGGAATTGAATTTTGGGTGCTCTGACAGGTACAATAAGGAGCGAGATACAGGCCTTTCAGGAACTCTGACAATGCTGTGTTCAGAAAATTACTTGTGAATGGCTTTCAAAGCCCTAGAGTTTGTTTAGAGAAAATCTTGTTGGCATTGATGGATTCCTCCTCCTCTGATAGTTCACAAGAAAGGCTGCAGTGTAGAGAATTAAATGATTCATTCCTAACATCTCATGTGTTCCGTTCAGACCTCCTGCTCTGGCTGCACTGGAGCCATTTCATCTGTGATGAGGTCATCTTGTTGGGGCACACAAAGGATTCCAGGGGAACACAAGTCCTGTATTGCGGCTATTCACAGCATTCATTCCTCCTGGCTGCTCAGACCTAACAATGAACCTTCTCAGCATTACATATGTTCGCTGCTGCTGCTGCTGAGACAGGAGTTAGATGCCTTTCAAGGGAATCCCCTGGAGATATACAATGCATTTATTATAATGTCCAGGCCCTCAGAAGGGCCTGGGAACAGTGTGGAGGAGCCTCTAATTAAGTTCATTTAATAATAAGCCCATATACTTCATAGGTATTCCAAGAAATGAAAACAAACCATCTTCTCCCTCTCCTCCCACACTAGCTTCTGTTTTTACAAATAAGAAAAGTCAGGAGTTCTATTTTCTTTTTTTAATAACACTTGCAAAGGAGGTCTGGCTACTAGGAAAAGGGAAATTAAATTACTGGAGAACATTCTTTCACATACACACAGACACACAGACACACAGACACACAGACACACACACACACACACACAAAGGTTTCTGCTTACTCAGGTAGTTATGCATGGGGAGGACTTGTTAAAAGCTCATTTCTTTAATCATTTTCGGATTCAACTTCCAAAGGCTTTTCAGGGGCAGTGACCCACTAGCAAAGGACCTTCTTTGGGATTAAGTTACCACTTGGATGGGCACTTTCTCAGGTCACTGGTGTGCTCAGGAAGAAAGGAACAGTCAGTAGTGTCTCCCTATACTGTCCAACACCCCAGGCTCCACACCTCTGAATGCTCAAATGTGTGCCTATAAAGCTTCTGAGGACAAGGGGAAAAGGTTCGGAAAATATGGAAAATTTACAGGAAGTGAAAGCACACTGGAAGAGCCAAGACTAAAGCAGCGGGAGCTATGTGTAGGACAGTGCACAATGCCATGCGATGGGGTTGAGGTGGGCCGGCCACACAGGCACTCTGGAGTGGCAGGGCAGGGCATCTAGCTCTGCTCCCTGACTGAATTTTTGTGAACTTTTCTAAGCTTCTGTTCTTTGTTTGTCAAATGAAGGTGTTAATAGTACAAAGAATAGGTGAAGATCTGTTTAAGTCTAGGACCTTGGGAAAGTTATCAATTTCTCTAAATCTCACCTTCTTTATCTGTAAAATGGAATAAAAAGTAACCATCTTAAAAAAAAAAAGTAACCATCTTTCATGCCCTGTTGAGAGAATGGAGTGAAATAATGCATAACATTAGTCAGCAGATTACTGCTGCACAGTTAATAATCAGCAAACCTGAGCTGTCATTGGTATTAATAGTGACATTACATTTTAAAGATACTTACTGGACTGAAATAGCATCATTGGATGATTTAATTCACAGAGCAAACATCTGGCTAGAAAAACAAGACAAACCCTGCAGACTTATTGGGTAATTATACCATATTGGAAATCTGATTGCTTTTTCTTTTCTTAAAATGTTTCCCCCCCCTCCACTGGGAGTGACCCCAACCTAGCACATGCTAGGTAGGCACTGTACCATTGAGTTACACCTCCAACCCTTGTTTTTGTGGCTTCTTCTTCTACAGTTGATGAGCATGAAATAAGCTTGTGAAACAAATAAATAGACATATCTTTTCTTTTATCTATAATTACCTAAAATAAAATTATAAGGTGGAAGAATCTGAGTGTAAAAAGGTAAAGAAGGTAACATTATTAACAAGACTAGTTTTTCCAACTCATAAGATGCACACAACACAACAGTGTTTCTGAGTTCATCACTTTTTCATATGATTTTCAAACTGCAACAAAGGTCAGTACAAGAGTGGGCGGGAATAATACCTTGTTCCTTATTATTTTGCAAGAAAAATGGACTGGGCCTGCAAAAAGCTTTCTTTTTTTAAAAAAAATAGTGAAATAAAACCCCAATTGCTGTTCAACTCAAAATACTGCTTTTCACTTTATGTTTAATTTCTACGTGAATATTCTCAATAAATAGCTTCTCCTACAAACATCTGTTAGTTTGACCACTGTTTAAATGCCAAACCATAGTAATGGGGGGCTTTTGAGAAGCACTAGAAGGACAAGAACCAGGAAATTTGAGGCAAGATACCCTTATCCTTCTACTCAGGTAGCAGAAAGAATCTGACATTTGCTCTTCATTATTAAAAGAGCTTTTTAAAAGTCACATGGGAAAGCAAGCACTCTGGCAATCTTTTGATTCCTTTTGGCTTTGGTCAAGAAAATGGAATTACTGAGAAAATCCAACGTTTTATAAAATATTGCTTTTGGAACAACTTTTCAGTAGGTTAACTACCCACTGAAATAAAAATTGTCTGCTGGACAATACAAAGGGGAAAAAAATAAAGATAATTACTAGATAAAAACATGTTAGGTGGCATCCACGTGTAGCTTCAATGGCTCAGTTCTATGGAGTCTCTGTTCTCATCTGCAGTGACAGATGATGTGTTAAGGCAAAAGTAAGGCTGTAATTCTTAGACCACCTTTTTAACCCTGACCTTTTATAAAATCGCTTCTTCTGAGGACCTGCAGACCCCTCAATGGTTGTCAGTTTCCATGTACAACTCCCTTAACTGCTTTTCTGAAGTCCAATTACCAAACAAGGTACAAGAAGAGCCAGAAACGCCAGAATTACAGTTACTGCATGGGTTCAACTTATATTTATCTTCTTTTCAGAATACTCTTAATTCCTATTCCATTTAAAATCCTAGGGTCATTAGGGTAGTAAAGGGAATTTCTTAAACACTGGACAACATTGTAGAGGTGAAGATCTGTTGTAGAATCTGAGGGATGTCCTTGGTATCCATGGCAATGAAAGACCGGCCAGCTGGTAAGGTTCTCTGAAGTCTGCCAAGAAGGAAGGGGAAAAAAATTACTCATGCAAATGCAAATTCCTTCCACCTTCTGCTCTAGTAAGCCACCAGCATCTAAATGGGTTCTGAGGAAAGGAAGTTTTCACTTTCACCTTGCTACTGCCTGCCACTGGATTACCTGTTGCTAGGCAACAAAAGGCCTGGAAGAGCAGCAGCAGAGAACCAGTGAAAGCAGTGAACTGAAAGAAAAGGTCTTTTCAGTGAAAAAAATCAGTGGGGAGAAAAATTTATCTTTTCATGATTGTCATCTCTTGGTATTTTATATTCCCTCAATCAGACAGATCGCTAGCGGCCTAACTGAAATTAGCTCACCTAGGTCCAGGAAAATGTGTTGGCCTCAAATTGTACCTCAGAATGCTTTTCTTTCCTTAAAAAACCAGCCCCCTAAAACATTCTCAATAGTTCTTTCTTTCTTCCTTCCTCTCCTTTTTTCGTTCCATACCATACAACATGAACTGTAATCTGGATTACACATTGCTATTTTGATGACACAGGTTATATAGGTTTATGGTAGGTTTTTTTTTTTTTTTAAATGCCAATTTGCCATTTAGGACAAAAGGCCATTTCTGAAGGCAATAAAACTGTAAGACACAGTTCTATTCAAAAGAATGCCTCCTTTGATTGTGCCAACAAAGTTTGGTTTTGGAATGACATTTCATGAAAGTCAACCATCCTGTGCAGCATCATACAATTGGCATGCCCAGTAGACCAGCTCATTCTGCAACATATCTTTTGCCAGTAGATGTTGGACCATTTCCCTAGGAAACCACAAGGATATTATTGTGCTTTCTTAAGTATTCAAACAGGATCTGTTCACTAGAAAGACAAAATAGTCATTTCAGCTCAACCATTTGAGCTTGCTGTCTGCCTAATACCGAGCTGGTGCTGAGGAAATATTGGTAGAAAACATGGCTTGTACTTAAGAACAAGGAGATTCTAGAAGAGGAAAAGTGCTAATGCATATAAGTGAGGGAAAATGACTGTGCTTACATAATATTAAGTCTGTTTTTAACTTTACAAGCATGAAGCAAGGTAAAGAGAAGAAGAGAAAAAGAAGTCAATGTTTGAGATGCTAAAGCACTTCTTAGTCTATATAAAACTCTGGACCACAGATTCTGACAGATAAAAAGGTGGAATAGTAAAGATAGGCCCTTGTGCCTTAGGCAGGGATTTTTTGGCTAGAGATGTTATATGCTCACTTATGTTTTCTGCATTTTATAAGTATGTTAAGCAAAGAAAAACCATAAGATCTTTCTACCTGTAATTAAAAAAGATAAATGGTAGTGTGTTTGAGTTAGGACAATGTTTCCAAATCTCTCCTTTACATCATCCCCAATGATATTTATTATCTGACTGTAAAGTTTTCAGTGAATATTCAGCATATCTAGTGTAGTATGTAACTGTGTATATTGTCTTACTTTGTCTCCAAGTATTTCATCTGCCCTGTATCACCAGTAATGATGGACATATTCACAAAACTTACTGGAGACGTGTCTATTGAGATATTTATACACACATATGCACACATGCACATTGGTATGTCTATATATTATATAAAGACATTAATATCACTTTATGTCACAAAAATACTAGATGTTCATTATTTTGAATATAATTTGAACATAAACTAATTAGACTGAGTTTGCAACTTTGATATTAAGTACTAAATAAATAAAATATTATCTATCTTATTAATGGACAAGTCAGTTTGCTAATTCTTTTGTTAGTTTAAATAAAAACTGACAAGAATTAATTTTAAATTATGATTGCATATACAGACATACATTAGAACATTATATCCCCTCAACTACACTCTAAGCTCCTTAGGGTAGCATCTCCTAGATTCTGTTTTCCTTCCATGTCCCTACTCCTCCTCATGATGCTAACTAAACCCATGACATCCAGTATTCCTACACTTGCCCTTTGCTGTAGCCTGTGGTGTGTGATGACTCTTACCTGGTTGCTTGGTCACCTAAAGATCCAATAAAAATTGCAAAAGCATTTACTTGAGGGTCGCTTGTCAGGATCTGAGCAAACTTTGCAGGATGTATCCCATATCGTGACAGATTTGCATCACTCAAGACTATGACAAAATACTCATCAGCTTCTTCTTTGACAATTTCCTTGATGGCATGTTTTGTCCCCTCTAGTGTATGGTCTCCACTCATGCAGAACTGTGAATGGGCATGCATTGTCTAGAGGTAAAAAACAGTGAAGAAAAGCTAAGGGTGAGAAGCTGAGTTTTACACAAATGTGGTGATTTTTTTTCTACTGACCATTAAAATGTATAAATTCAGATCATTACAGCTGAGCAATAAGTCCTGAATGAGTTTTATTTAATTTTTGCATGACAGTGACAACAAGACATGGTGATATTTATATCTGGCAGGCTTTCATTAGAAACAAGAACTGTTCTCAAACTCTCACAGTCGCTACTTACTTTTAAAAGTTTCTCCACTGAAAGTGAGAGCTTTTAAGAAAATATAAAAACTCACTGTCATAATTAAGGGTGGGTGTGATACAGGAGAAAAATAAGGAACAGGTTAAGTTATCTTATAAGCAATGATACTGTAATATTAAAGTACACTCATCAGTAGCAGTGAAGGGAATTTGGTTGAAAATCATGATGAGTGCATACTTTTATCACAGATTCAAGGATGTAAAATTGAATTTATCATTAGAAAATATAAACAGATACATAAAGTTGGGGCTAGAGAGTACTCTAAAAGGGTACTTCTCCTTATACTTAATATGTAGAATATATGAAGAGATGCATATTATAGAATTCTTTTTTTTTTTTTTTTTTTTTTTTTTTTTTTTTTTTTGCGGAACCAGGGATTGAACTCAGACCCTTGTGCTTGCCAGGGAAGTGCTTATTCTACTGAGCCATCTCCCTGGCCGCCATTATAGAATTCTAATGCAATATTGAGATATACAATTCCAATCCAATATTGACTCTGAAAATAGCTAGGATAAAACTTGGATGATGTAGAAAAGGATTTTAAGCAAGATGGGTGTGGTGTTCATCTGTTTAATACTCCAATGTTTTTGAAAAAGAAAGTCTTTTTTTTTTTTTAGTATTTACCTAATTCGATAGAATTTTCACAATATAAAGGTAACAAAAAAATAAAGGTAACTGAATAATTTACCTTCAGAATTTCTAATCTTTGCTTATTGTTCTTCGGGATTTTGTCTACTGGAACTAGGTCAATGTGGTAGCCATCTCCAGAGTGTCCAGTGATATCATACTACATGCAAGAGAATCCGAGAGTTAGGAACCTCTATCTATTATAGAAATATCATTAGATAATAAATCTCCAACTCTTTGGGCTGTTAATTATCCCAACTGCTCATCATTTAGCCATAGGAAATGCAGAGAGATAGATAAGTGTTTATTAACAAAAGCAAACAAGTTCTACTTTCATTCATTTTAGATCCATCTTTTTCTGTGATCTCTGATCTCTACAACAGGAGATAGTATTCAGGCTACTCTGGATTCTATTCATAATTTTCAGGAGAGTTGTTTTTACCACCCTATCTCACACCTCACACACTGATTGCCAGAATTCTAGCTTTCTGTGAGTGTGGGCAGGACCTGTAAATAAAATAGGCTATCACTTGTGATTATGTTTATTTATATGGCAAAAGGAATTTGACAGGTGTAATTAAATTTATTTGATTTTTGAATTAATCAGAAGGAAGATGAACTGGGTAAGCCTAATGTAATCATACAAGCCCTTTAAAATTAGACACTTTTTCTTCCCCAGCTGATGACAGAAGAAGAACACCAATTTGAAGTGTGAGGGGTGGGAACCACGGAAAAGAGCTTGAGAATATATGTAGAAGCTGAGAGCTACACAGGTTGAAAGCAGGAAGGGAGACAGGAACCTCTGTCTACAGCCACAAGGAAATGTATTCTTCTGATAAGTGAGATTTGCAAGCAGATCCTTCCCCAGAACCTCCAGGTTGGAACCCAGTGCTGCTGACATGGGACTTCAGCCTCACAAGGCCCTAAGCAAAGATCTCAGTTAAGCTTGTCTGGACCTCCTAAAAGCAGAACTATGAATCAATGAATGAGTATCATAAATTATGTTTGTGGTAATCTGTGAGGCAACAATAGAAGTCTAGTACATATAATTTCTATTCACAAAAGAAACGTGTTCATTGTAGAAATTACAGAAGAGTACAAGAAACAAAGTAATCCATTACTTAATTAATCCATAATCCCATTAAAGATAGCCTCTGATAATATTTTTATTTTATTTTTTATTAACTTCATTGAAAATCAATAATTACATATCATATTAAAAATTGTAGACAAATATTGAAATGTGAAATATGTAAGATATAGAAGAGTGATTTTTAGAGAAATATTTCTGAAATGAATACATCATATGAGATTAATAGATTGCACACTATAAATAAATTATTTACAAACTTAAATGAATATAACAATAAAAACTGTCCAAAATAAAAATGAAGAAGAAATAAATCACAGATTAGTCATATAATAGTTCACTATGGGTCTAAATCAAGAAACTTATATTCATATAATTAGAATTCTCAAAACAGAAAGAGGTAGGAAATAAATATTTAAAGATTTAAAATTTCTGAATTTAGTTGAACTTATAACACCACATTTCCAAGAGAAATGAATCTTTTGCACAAGAAATTTGAATAAAATCATATGAAGATACAGAAAAATGAAATTGTCCAAAACTTATTGTAAAGAAAAAAATCATTAAAGCATATACATAAAGAAATTAGCTATGGAAGAACAAAATTAAATAGCATCATATTCCATATTAGAAAGAAAAGAAAAGGTGTGGGAGAACTTCCAGCTACCCTGAGCCAGCAGGACCTGCTGGTACATGCCCAGGCGCAGCATGGGTGAGACCCTCTTCCACCCCATTGGGACCCCACACCACCACTCTGCAGCACCCCCCACCCGCCTGCCAAGTGAGAATTTCTACCATGCTCTGGGGACTCCCAGATCCAGTCCTAGTCCAGGCCCGGTGAGTGTGTGGGAGAGCTTCTGGCTACCCTGTGATGGTGGGACCTCCTGGTCCCAGCACAGGTGAAGCACGGGTGAGACCCTCTTTCAACCCATTGGGACCACCCCACACACCACTCCACATCACACCCACAACCCGCCCGCCCAGTGATAATTTCTGCCATGTTCTATGGACCCCCAGATCCAGTGCTAGCCCAGGCCCGGTGAGTGTGTGGGAGAGCTTCCAACTTGTCCCCTCCAGACTCAGCTCAGGCCTGGCATACAGGCCTGGGGTGAAATCCCGCAGCTGCAATCCCTGCAGAGACAGTAGGGGACCAAGCCACCCAGCTAGTCGAGGAGCAGAATATCTTGCAAGAGGGGCACAACAGGATCTACTCCGAAGGGCAGCAGCAGGAAGGAGCTGAGCACAACAGCCAGACCCAAACCAGGCACAACTGGATAAATCCAAACTTTGTAGATCTGCACCTGAACTTCAGTAGGTACTAAGATTATAACTGCACCAAAGCTCTACAACAAAGGTCAGAAGACAGTGCTACACAAAATGACAACTAGAGGAGCAAAATGCAATCTCAGAACCCAAGCCATCCATAACAAGTGCAGAGGACACAAACACAAAACAAATTGGGAACCACACAGCTGAAATCAATGAATCAATAACTTCTGAAATAAAGAAACAACTGCAGACAGGTATAGAGGAACTCAGATTGGAAATGAAAAAAAGAAATCCCTGAATTAATAGCCTCTAGAGTAAAGAATCAAATGAAAAAACATACGGAGGAAACCCAATACCCACCCAGAACAAGTACAGAGGACACTAGCTCAGCTGAAATGTATGAATTAATAGCACTGACAGTAAATAAGAAACAGAGAAAGTTATAGAGGAACTCAGAGCAGAATTCTTTTCTACTAGCTCAGCTCAAGTGTATGAATTAATAGCATTGGTAGTAAATGAGCAACAGCAGAAAGTTATAGAGGAACTCAGAGCAGAATTCTTTTCTGAAATAAAAAAAGAATTCTCTCAACTCATAGCATCTGAAGAATCAACTGCAGAAACAGGGAGGAAACCCAATCTGAAGAAAGCACTGCAGTAAAAGAATTAATAACTGCTTCTAAAGAAGATATTGATAAAAAAAATAGAGGGGATTAGAAAAATGACAGATTCCTTGAATGAGCAATACAGGAAAGAAATAGATCGCATGAAGCAGAGTAAAAGAGATATACAGGAACTTAAAATCTCAATCACAAGCTTGCAAAACCGATTAAGTGAAAGTAAAGATAGAGTTTCAGATCGTGAAGACGCTGGTGCAGCTAGTGAAAAGGTAAGAAAAGATCTCTTAAAAACAACTAGGATGCAGGAAAAAATAATCCATCACTTGCAAAATGATGCAAAGATGAACAATGTGAGACTAATAGGTGTCAATGAGAAAGAAGGAGTTAGTACAAAGGACATTAAAAAAATATAGGCAGAAGTAATAGCAGAAAACTTCCCAAATATGAGGAAACAATATGACAATCAGGTAACTGAAGCATAGAGAATACCAACTAACCTCAACCCAATTAAAAACACACCGAGACATAAATAGTCAAGATCCCAGAAATTCAGCTCAAGAATAATAAACGCAAAGCCACTAGAGAAAAGAAGCAGATCACACTCAAAGGAAAACCCATCAGAATTATGGCCGACTTCTCTTCACAAACCATGAAGGCAAGAAGAGCATGGAGGAGACTACTTCAAGTCCTCTATGAAAACAAATTCCAACCCAGACTACTATACC